CGACGATAAAGAGAAATTACCATTAATCGGCGGTGGCCCGAGCATGATGCTCGCACGACGATATCGTAATCGACCAAAAACAACAAATATAACGTAACGATTCCCGTTCGGACGTTTAACGGGTTTTTCCAATTAACCCCTTAACGTACGATTTGATGTAATTTTTCAAACGTATACTATTTAATTTTGTTTAAATCTATTCGTACAAGACCGCGAAAAGGATTTGTTTTACGAATACCTCGTGAATGTTAAAATGTGTTGATTTTAATATATAAATCTTGATAACGAGTGAGTAGTCCCATGATTGTGAAATTTGACATCAAGAACTTGTCACGAGTCAGACTCGTTATTGTATGCCAAAGGGTTAAACACTTTTGAAAAACTGATTTTTCAATATGTTATTATAATTGTTACCAACATACGTTCGTATGTATGCTAAGTTTCGTGTCGATCTATCAACTATGTACGTCTTGTCTATAGTGTATTCTATATAGTTCAACTGATCGTGTTTTCTATGAAACTATCTACGCTAAATGTATTGTAGGAACAAACGAAGATCTGTCGCGGAAGTAACCCGAAGTCGTAGTGGGTCAGACATTTTGATCAGCCTTCGTAAGGCTAAACAAAGATTAATCATCAGTGTCCACGTTTCTTTTGCTCATAACTAGACTGCGGATGTCTATGCATTTATGAGAAATTTTAATTCTCAAAAAACTACAGAATGCACTTGTTATGCAAAAATATAAGAAATATTTAAAGTAAGATACGAATTATTATATTTAGGGGTTGAGACAACCCTCTAGAAAGCTCCGATTTCATTAATAGTATTAATAAAAATATGAATTTGCATAAAGATCCGCAGTCTACTCATAACATTCTTCAAGCTTGGTACGCTTCCTCCATGTACATTTCATTTCTGTTTTTATTTGGCGAATAAAATTGTTAACGCGTTAACTGTCACAGTGGTCAATCGGTGATTTTAACTCCTTGCCTTGGAACGACGAGTTTGATACGTTACAAGTTCTTGATGTCAAGTTTCACAATCCTGAGGCTACTCGTTAACAAGTCATTATATTATATTAAAATCATCATCTTTTTACATTTACGAGATATTCATAAAACAAATCTATTCTTTTTCGTGACCATTTTTTGTACGAATTTATACAAAATTAAATAGTATACGTTCGACGATGAAATGAAATCGTACGTCAAGGGGATAAGGGGTGAACCACTGTAAAAACCTGAAATAAAGCATTTTTTGCGATTTTTTTTTTGGATGGATGGAAAAGTAAGAGGATAATAATATTCAAAAATGTTATTAACCATGCCGTTAAGTGTTAAAAAAAAGGATTTATTCAACAATAGTGCAAAATGACGACGTTGAAGCCATTCTCGCGAGGCGTGTTGAATTTGCGTGTTGTGTAACTGACGCAAATTTGTGTCTCGAAAAAAACAAAAAATTTTCTCTTAATCTACATGAGTTTAAGTGGCGAAATACGTAGGGGATTTATGAAACATTAATTTTTGCATGATTGGCGAGCATTTGAAGCAAGAAGCTCAATTTTGTACAAAAAATGGGGCAATCATTTGTCAATAAATAATATTAAAATTAACTTATCTTATATACAGCGGTCTTACCCCTTAAATGTTTCTGTCATTTGGAATGCTGTAAAAAAAAATAACTTATCAGTGATTTTGCATCTTAGAAACCTCTAAACTGTTCGGCTAGAAAACTTTGACTCTCCCATTGGGAATCTCTATTTCATCAATCGCGAAATATACTTTCAAGACAGTAAAATAATCATTTCTAGCATAGTGTTATCGATGGCTACTTTCGCCATTTTGCAAGACCGTTTTCGCGGTGTTTATTTCCGTTGACAACCGTTTCTTGTTTATCCTTTCTACTCACGCAAGGTCTCGGAACTACTCAAATTATTCCGCCGCGGACGGATTAAGAAATGTTAATTAGCCGCGAAAGCGAGGCGTAGCTCGATTCCGTTTCACGGTGCAGGGAATCGCGTCCGGTAATACGCGGAAAGGCGTATCGATTGTAAACAGGACGAGAAAAAATTTCGAACACGATCCGACAATCATAGGTGTCTGCTGGCCACGTGGCAGCTGCTTCAACAGCTGTTACCACCCCGATGCATCAGAAGGTGCGCCAGTTTTTGTTTTTTTTCTTCCTTTCGTTTTTTTTTTTCATTTTATTTTTCTCTCTCTTTTTGCTGCTGATTTTTAATGTCGCGATATCACGCGCGGAACGCGGCGGTGCTCGCTCGCTCGCTCGCGTGCACGCTCGTGTCCGCCACAAAAAGGAACACAGCACCGCCGTTGCCAGAAGCGGCCAGCCCTTCGTACGGAATTATCTCCCGTTCATCTTCATTCACAGTTCTTGCGCCGATTGACAGCTACAAAAGCCTCGCGCGACGCTCTCTAACAAGAACTCCCGGCGAAATTGTTAATTCTCGCCTACGAGACATCGTATTTAATTAATCTCCGTTGTCCGTCGTCTAAGGTGCTCGTTGGCACTCGCCTTTCACGAGACAAGGCGTACGTATACAGGTTGCTCCACGAACCGTGCTACAAAACATTTACACGCACTCCTTTTGTTCCCTATCTCGCGATACGAGGGGATCTTATTGCGATAGACGTTAACCCCTTGACGTACGATTTAATGTCGAATAATTCGTCGAACGTATACTATTAATTTTATTTAGATTTGTTCGTATAAGAAATGGCCACGAAAACGAATAAATTTGTTTTATAAATTGTACCTTGTAAATGTAAAAGTGTATTGATTTTAATATATAAGACTTGATGACGAGTGAGTAGCTTCATGATTGACGCTATTCTAGAATAAATTTGATTGCCAGGATTTCCGATTCTACGTACGGTTAAATAGAATTTGCAACGTATGCATTGGTTTAACCAAATAGTAACGTCGTAATTTTTCTCATAACAAGTTATGTGTAGTTTCCAATTGTCTAAAAAGAAAGTTTCGTTTTCGTGGACAATTTCAGGGGTCAATCCGTTAATAATAAAAATCTAGCACAAGTAATAATTCGGTGCTTAACAGATTAGATTGTTCTCTGTAATCTTCCAAGGGTGGTATGTTATCGCGGTGAAATAATGTGTTATTTGCGACGTAAACGTCTTGTAACAGGGTTAGCGAAACGCCCTGTACGCGCGCGTGATTCGCAAAGAATTCGATACAATGGGAAAATCAATTGCAAGAGAACTCCCTCCCCCCGACCGTAGAATCCACGGGGCTCGCGAGAGTTCGTTTTTTCGTACAAACAAAATTGTTCGTGCAACGCGTGTTTTTCTGTCCACGTTTCTCTCCCCTTTCTTCGTCAGGGAGCCGTACGCATGGTCGAGCCACAGAGTCCGGGATATTGATCAATTAGGAAAAATTCATGTTGAATGGTCCGCCGACTTGCGAAATCAATTTAAAAAAAAGAGGCGAAGAAATAAGAGCAAGAGGAAATATACGTGAATACGGCGGTGCTCGGGTGTTGTTGGTTTTCATCGAATATGTAGAAACGAAACAGTGTGAAACGCGCTTCCCGTTTTCTCAACCCCCCTCTGTTGGCTGTTGCCTGGATATTTTTGGACTTTTTTAAACGCAAGTTTCGTACAAAAACGTTACGTAAAAATAGATGCTGATGCGTCGATGAGAATTACCAGGATACCCTGTTGCGCGAACATTGTATCACGCGATTCAAGTTGGTTTTAACTTATCGTTCAGTCGTTGGCTGTCTCCATTAAAATCGGATACACGCGATGGTTCGTATCGTTCGATCGGTTCTGCCTGTGGTCTACGATTATTTGCGGCGAGTTTTATGCTAGAACTCTTCGAGTTACTCGGAAAAAGCTATCTGAGCTTAGTTGACTCGAATATTCGAACGGGAAGAAGCGTAGTAGCTTTATAGGCTCCATTTTGAATTAAAGTGTATTCAGTTGTTACAGACTCTACCAGTAAATTTATTTACTTTATAACTTAATAGTACGTAAAACGTTATTAATTTATAAATTTACTTCGAAACCATTCAATTATTAATAGAATTAAAGTATAGATAACCGAATCGTGTTTTACTAGGTCCGACAAACCGAGCCTTTGCGACTCGAATTTCGAGCTACTCGAATGTTTTAAGTACTCGACAAATTCTAGCTTCAACTGTCACCGGATTCGTTCAAATTCGCGATTACGCTACTCCTCTTGAGGCTTCGATAACGACGAGTTATCGATACGAACCGACCCTTTACGGTGTTCATTTGCCTTCTTCCCTACTTGGAAATGCTTGTCTTGAAATCGCCATCATTATGTTCTCAAATTCCGCTCTCACAGAAATGCTCGTCAAGTACATGGAGATTCCCATGGAACGGAGAAATGAAAAGGGATTCTTGAGTGACCGAGGGGTTTAAATTGACTGTAAAAAAGCCCACCGGTATATTTGGATCGAGCGGATTGGCCGATCCGTCAAAGGGAACTGTGCTTCGATGATTTTGATCGTCGACTCGCCTGAAGTACGTATCGTAAATGCTCGTAGAGAAAAATATTTTTTTTAAATTCGACAAATTTGTTGCATCATAATCGCAATGATTTAATATACTTATAAACCCGCCATTTCACGTGCAACAACTTTAAATATAATATAGATAATAATGTGATTCTACTTCGGACGATTCGTCATTTTCCTTCGAGATTTCGCGGAAAGTTGAAGTTTGAGAGACACTGGTTCCGCCTAACTCGCATAATTAGAATTAATTATCAAGCTTCTAAAAATGTGGATTCGTTGTGATGATGGGGACAATGGTCGCGAAAAAAAGAAGCGAATTTCGTGTACTCTCTCCATGTTACGAATTCGTGGACTGTAATCTCTCGCCTTAACGCGGTTCGGGAGTCCCCGTATATCTTCGTGGAACTTCGATTTCCGCGCTGATCGAGCGTGGCGCTCGAGTCGACCGGCTCTTCTCGCATTTGCAGTACGCGGCGGGACGTGAGCCAGCGTGTTGTGGAAGAATGATTTTTTTCGGTATAGCTGTTGGTAAAGGGCAACGTTCGTGATTTTCGTATTTCTATCGTTATCTCGATTTCTCGGTGTGGTCACGCGTCGACGTTTTCTCCGTTCGCTCGAGACGACTCGTCGAAGTTTCACGGGACTTGCCGCGAAGTGCTTCCAGGAGCTTTGTAAATATATATTCGTTCCGTCGTATCACGGACACGTGGTACCGCTGAAATCACGTACACGTTACGGAGTGGAGTTTGACGAACTTCGTTTTGTAATTAGCAATTTATTTGCTTTTTCAACGACGCGTCGCCGATAGAAAAGAATTTCCGTGCGTTCCACTTCCACATGCGTGTCACTGGCAGGACGCGAGTGAAACGCCAATCGTTTTTTTCTACGTCATATAAAATCCGCTTGTACCACGCCGTTGATGGTTAATCTGTGTACACGTTCGGTCTTCGTGAAAGGGCGACGGAGAGATCCTTTTCGATCGTTCGAATGTCGTCGATCGATCTTGGTATCCACTTAATAAACGTTCTTACATGTCGCTTGCGCAGTTTGTAATTTCCGTAACGGTAACGCGATAGCAAAAGTTACGCAGTTTCGACCGAATTCCTGGAACCGGATAGATTGCTTCCGCGCGAGCGGCGTGTTCTCCATCGTCCGGCGAACCTCGCGTGTTATTTTGCCGATACGAGACGAGACGAGGTCAAGAACAATTTCTCGGACTCGAAAGTCTCTTACCAAACGTCGTTGTCAACCGGTGCTTCGATACACAAGACTCGAAGATAATCCGTTTCCTGTACTTATTTGAACACGTTCACCAACCTGATTTCTCGGACTTAACCTTGCCCGTGCGCGCGTGTTGTGTGTTTTTATGTGACTTTGTGCGTCGCGGGGTATCAAAGGTGACGAACGTAAGGTTAAATATCGATGAAAAACAGGAGAGAGAAGGATAATCGAGCCCCTGGAAAACAATAGAGGAAAAATCAGTGCGGTTGTTTTTCGGTATGCTGGTGCCAACAGGCGCCGTTGTTGCGTCGCTAACAAACGGGGGCAATGCTATTGGCTGACTACCAATAAGTCAACGACGAACCTCGCCGTATCTGCAAATTCACAGCGCCTCTGTACGTGTAAGTGTTCACCAACTTGTTTACATCCGTTTTTGTTACCCTATGTACACGGGCTGCAGATATGTATACTACGATCATTATGCGTCTCATTGTATTCATTGGATTTGAATGTCGATGTTGCTTTCGTAAGTACACAAAATATTCAAGAAATAATACCCGGTTTCGCGACGTTGCTAACTTTCAAACGTTCGAGCTTGTACTATCTCTTTTTCAAAATCAGAGTTCCAACGATTGCTTCGTAGAATATAGATTCAATTTAGAATAACGGTACATATATAGTCTAGTACAAACATAACCTTTATCGACCCCGCGTCGAGGTCTTCGATAAAATGTTAGAAGGATCACAATACCAGTGTAAACATACAAGAATTTGAATTCAAATAAGTCTTGAACGACCGTTGTATTTTATTACGTGGCATTTTGATCTAAGTTCTTTAGCGAAGTTGTTACTTACAAAATCTTCTAGTTAGCGATACGATAGTTGAATGACAGCAAAAGTGGGAACGTCAAGATAGACGTAGGTATAATGTAAGCCATGTACATATTTGAAATTTATTCTAGAAATATAGATCATTTAATAATAATAGTATGCGTATGCTCTAAATCGCTGTATATAGAAATTTCACAGTAATTGGTAGAGTTTATTGTGTTTGGATCTACAAAAAGAAAACAATACCCTAAAATAACTTTCAAATTAGGCAAGATTCGTCACGATGGAATACGAATAAAAAAATTAGAGATTTCATTGCGAGCGCTGTAATCGTCACGACTGAAGTATACTGTGTTTGTTCGTACGCAAGATCGTATTTCGGTAGAATGTGAAATTGCGTAAAAATTTTCCTCCGAGCATTCCTCTCCGCGTTACGCAATTTTTGTTCGCGTTGCATAATTTTGGAGGCTGTTTAATTGCAAACGAGCCGGAAACCACGTCGACAGTTTTGCCCGCGCCGATGCGAGGCGATGCGAAATGATATCGCGAATCGACGCCACTGAGCGTTCTTCGCTATCTTCAGGCGGTTCTTAACGCCTCTGAGATATCACCCGCCCGTACCCGGGATTTAGGTCAGTTTTGCAAGTTTCGTAATCGTCGAGCTGCCGGATAACCGGGTACTTCAGTCTGCGCGAACTATGCGGGTCCAGTTTTTGGTAAACGAACAAGGCATCTCACTTCCAAACGATACAAAGATTCAACTCACAACTCACGAATCTTTTTCATTATTCGGTTAAATAAAATAGAACAATTCGAAATCGTAAGTAGTGTATATATTGGTCTATAATTTTAGATACTTATTTTTAACTTGGAAATTCTTTCTTTTTGAGGGATCAGAGGGCGTCTTCAAAAAAGCTTGGAAACCATTAGAGCTTAATAAAATTGAAAGAAACTGAAAGATCGTAATAAACGCGTGTCGTTAGACGATTACGATTACGCATGCTGTGGAGCTTATTATTTCATTTCAAGAGCAGGTGTTCCTATGAATAATATGAATTTTCGAGATACATTGTCGTTACGTGTACAAAGAACTCTTGTCTTTGAAAAAACTAGCAGGTTTAATATCTTTGAGATAGTTCTTAAACACAAATTTATTTACACATTTTCGGTTCTTTTGTATATTGTGAATGTTTTTCGTCAAATATGTATTTCTGTCTAAAAGAAAAACTTATTTTTGACAAATTATAGGGTTTCGTATGAGAATATGACACTGTCTTTGTCCTTTTTTATAAGAAATGTGTTTTAAAATTAATAGTAACCCGGAACAGGTATTTTATATGAAACTACATACTTTTCACTATTAGTTAAACAAAATATTCGTAAAAGAAGCGTAGATTTACTGTGTAATGCCCGAGAAGAACAATACCAAATTGATTTGCGCTCTTGGGTGTGTAAGATTCGTAGACTCGTTGGCTGCACCTCGATAATGCTTGCTGCTCACAATGTGTGCCCCCTTGGGGTGCCCAGGCCCCTAAAGTGGCCTGGGCCACCCAACAAAGATCAGTCCTGATTCGTCCCCATCCCACACTCAAGGTCACTAACGTCTTTCGTCTCCACAGTTTTTATGACCCCGTTACATTTCTTTCACCGAGTATGCCCATAGTTTATTTACGCCCTGTACATAAACGCAAAAAACGCCACACGCTTTCGTCGTAATTCGCGTTTCTTTTCGTCGTACCGATCCAATACAAGTTTCTTCTTTTTACCGCACGAATCAGTGGTTTCTAAACTTTTTGAAAGTCATCCACCGGGACGAAAAAACTTACATTTCACGCCTGAAATTTTTCAACATAGAATTCTTTTTACGTGCAAGGAAATTGCTTTTAAGTTATATTCCACGCCTGAAATTCTTCAACATAGAATTCTTTTTACGTGTAATTAAATTAAGCTGATGTTACGTTCTATTACACGCCTGAAATTCTTCAACATAGAATTCTTTCTACGTGTAATTAAATTAAGCTGATGTTACGTTATATTACACGTTTGAAATTTTTCAACATTTTTTTTACGTGCAATTAAATTGAGTTGCTTTTATCGATTGTGATTGATTAAGTTGTCGAAAAGGCTTGACGTTGCAATCGTTACGTATCGACGATAAGATTAAAGAAAACATCGAAAATGTGTATAACGAGTAGACTTCAGAGGCACGCAGGGTTACAGGTAGTTCGAAACGCTTCTATATGCTAACGAATTACGCAGTAATCGTGTTCATCGAACTCTCATCTCATTTCCCGCGTACTGTCGGCGCATAATTTTAAGGGACACTTGTTGCTGGACGAAGGGCGTGGTTATAAATTTCGGTAGCGGAAAACGGATCGCGGGTGTCGTGTGTATCGCGGACGAGCAAACATTGAACAGCACCGACACGTTGCAATATCAGCGACAAATTACTTGATACGTTCTTCGAGCTCGTGGCGAGTGATTCATTGTGCGAGAGACCGGTCGGTTGAATTATTAGTTACAATTACCGTTGAGCCGTTCGATAGTTCCCTCGCTAAGGACATTCTTTGCCGCCGCGCGGCCGTAGCGTAATCGACCAAGGAATAAAGCAAGACAAGGAAAACCTGTCGTCGAGTTGGATCGACGTGGGACCACCGACTTGCCTGCGAAGGAGCCTGAGAGCCGTCCTTCGCATTTGTCGTTCTCGCTTTCAAGTGATTCAGCATAAACTTGGGAAAAATCGGTGCAATCGTGCTCGCGTGCGTCATTTCACGAACGGTGCAGACAGTATGCGCTCGCGAGCCGATTTTATGCCAGTAAGGATTCAGCGAAACCGATGATACACCTCTGATGATCACCTCTGTGATCTACACTCTTCCTCGCTTTCTTGCCGGTTGCAACCACTTCGTCTTACTCGTGGGATGGCCGAAGATGTGACAATTTATTCGCGACCTTCGTTCGATCGAACAGTTTCATTTTCATGAAACAAAATTTCTACGTACTTTTACCAAATAATTGATGTGTCCATTGTACATGTACGCCAATAATACAGTTGTAACGGGGATTTAATTATTCTTCAAACTCAAATGCAATGAAAACAAATGCATTCGACTGCTTCTGATTCAATAGGAGTGACAGTATTTGATGTTTAGCTGAGTTTTATTATGTTTCTCTATAACTATAACTATATTCTATAACTAGAATAACTAAGAGAACTCTGAGGAAAATCAGAATTATAAAAATACTAAGCTCTACAGATTGATATGAGAAAGTTTTTAGAGGCCAAAATAAAACGAAAATCAAGAATATCAATTTCTTGACTGAGGCTTCGTTAAAAAGTTATTCAAAAATTAATATAAAAAATTTCAAATCGTTTTAAAAAAATTATTTTTAGTTGCAGGGGTCAATTACAAGCATTTTTGGTGAATAGACATACCTCCGAAAACTTATTCACATTCTAGATAAAAATTCATTACTGAAAATACAGGGTGTTCGGCCACCTCTAGCAAAAATTTTAATGAGCGATAGTAGAGGCCAAAATAAGACAAAAATCAAGAATACTAATTTGTTGGTGGAAGCTTCGTTAAAAAGTTATTAACGTTTAAAGTGCCGCTATTACTGAATTTTTTTCTCGAAAATGCGCAAGAATTCGGGGGTATGTCTATTCACCAAAAATGACTGTAATTGAACCCTACAACCGAAAATAATTTTTCCACAACGATTTGCAATTTTTTAATTTTCTCGAATAATTTCACACCTTCTCTATTTTTTTTCTCGAAAGTGGGCAGGATTTCGTGGGTATGTCTAATGACAATAACTGATTGTAATTGACCCCCGCAACCGAAAATAATTTTTCCACAACGATTTGCAATTTTTTTTCTCCGTTGAAAAATTTAGGCACCTAATTGGATTTTCAGTAAGGAATTTTTTTCTCGAAAGTGCGTACGATTTCGGAGGTATGTGTAATGATAAAAAATGATTGTAATTGATCCCCGCAACCGAAAATAATTTTTTTAAAACGATTTGAAAAATTTTTTTTCGCCGAAAAATTTCAGCACCTACTCGATTTTTTTTCTCGAAAGTAGATAGGATTTCGGAGGTATGTGTACTCACCAAAAATGATTGTAGTTGACCCCCGCAACCGAAAATAATTTTTCCAGAACGATTTGAAATTTTTGAATTTAATTGTTAATAACTTTTTAACGAAGCTTCCATCAACAAATTAGTATTCTTGATTTTCGTCTTATTTTGGCCTCTACTATCGCTCATTAAAATTTTTGCTAGAGGTGGCCGAACACCCTGTATAATGTCTGACCATAACTGTCTGGTTACCCTATAAAAAAAAATTTTGAATCGTTCTAAAAAAATTATTTTCAGTTGCGGGGGTCAATTACAATCATGTTTGATAAATACATATACCCCCGAAATCCTACGCACTTTTGAGAAAAAAATTCTTTACCGCAAATATAATGCGTGGCCAGAGATCTGTGATTATATTCCTCGTTTTTGTTACTTCATATGTAGATATAGTCCAATTATCTGGCATATAAAATAATAGCTTTTTAACGAA